AGGAGGAGAGAGATTGGAGTTGGGTTCTGCTAGAAGGAAAACCCACAGCCTTTGAGGCTCCGGCTGGGGGTGGGGGGGGAGTTAATGCCGTGGGTGCCACTGGCTCTTTCAGCCGGATCCTAACCATGTTGACTGGTAAGTCTCCACTCACCAAGTGGGCTGGATACGGGTGGCTTCCAGTTATGCTCTTTAAGTGGAATGAGGCAAAAGGGTGGACGGCTTCCAGCCGCTCACCTCTACTCGCTTTTTGTGAATGCCTGCCTGTATGAATGAATTGCCGGTGCCAGCCTCCTGGTTGTGATTCAAGGAAGGGAAGGTAGGTGAGTGGCTGCTTTTCGTGGGGCGGATGAATGAGCGGAACACACAAAAGGTTTGATTTTGAATGTGTAGCTTGAAGCTTCCTTCAGGGATCATACTTTAAAAAGAGTCTCCTTTTGCATTTCCTTGATCTTTAATTTGAACTAGAACCTATACTAACTGGAGCACTCTTTGATTTAAAATTAGCTCACCCCATTCTGCTTTCTTCCTGCCCTTCCCTTCCCTCCTTAGCATTATTCGCAAGTGCTTTTAGCCACAAGGCATAGATAAAATCCATTATGAAGATACTCTTCCATTTTCGAAAGGGTAGGACTAAGAGCTATTGAAAAACTGAATCTGGAGGAGAGAGAGCTGATCTCATGCCTGGTGTCTTGGCCAGGCAGTTTTTCTAACTGGATACAGGTTGATGGCCCCAAGCAGAAGGTGGTTGCAAGAGAACATGAAAGCCACTGGATTTAAACCATATCCAGTGGTTGGAGGAAATAGAAGCAATTGGAGACATATTTCAGTGTCTTATAGTCTTGTTGTGGGTTCCTGGTCCAAGGAAACCACACGAAAGTTGATTGGGAAGTGTGCTTAATTTAATGCAGACTTTGCTGTACATCAAAAAAAAGAAGTGAGAATGTTGATCTACACACTGCATGCGAATCCATGTTACAAGCCTTCAATAGTTAACTTTCCTAAGAAAAAAACAAATGTGAAGGAGAAGACACAGGGACATGTTTGCTCACTTTAGCCATTCATATGGCTAAAGTAACCTCATTTTGCAGTGTCCTGTACAGGGAACAGAGAAGAAGTGGACCAGGGCTGGTTTTCCTTGTTGGCGTCCCTCCCTACCAATTGCTGTCCTCTCTCATCCCAGCTGAGTTCCAGACATATGTCTGTGTGGGTGAAATGCAGTTGAGATTGGGATGGAAAGCAGACTGAGAGCAGGAAACGGTAACTGAAACAGAGCAGGTGGGAGGAGGTCGGAGAGGCCTTTCCCTTTGGCTCTTCTCTGGATGGTTTGCCTACATGTAAAACCGGGTGGCTTTAGACAAAGAGGCGGCTGAAGTTTGGGCTGTTTGTTGTGCGTTATGCGCAGTCTGACTGTAGCAAATGTTTTTGCACACTGGAAATCGAGCCCCTACTTTTAACCTCCATAGTTTTTATCTGCAATGTGAGTAATAATTCTGTGGGGAAGAATAATAGTACTGGAAGTCTCTGTGGCACTGAGGACCTTTCCTATTGAGAAGGAAAAGATGGCAGAGCCAAATTCAGCCGGTTGTGTCAACTGGAAACTCTCATATCATCACGTGGGGCCTCTGTAGCTTGTGGCAGATCATATGCAGGGCAGTTCCTGCCATTAGACAGAGTGAGGTAACTGCCTGTGATAGTAGATTGTGGATGTTATGAAAGAGGTGCCATTTCATTTGTTATTTTACAGCAGGGTGGACGGGTGGGTGAGTGAGTGGATATATATATATAGAGAGAGAGAGAGATAGCCGTTATTTTACAGCAGGGTGGATGGGTGGGTGAGTGAGTGGATATATACAGTATATATATAGAGAGAGAGATAGGTGCTTGTAGGATTTTTTTCTGCATCATGTTGTTGTTTAGTCGTGTCCGACTTTTCGTGACCCCTTGGACCAAAGCTCGCCAGGCCCTCCTGTCTTCCACTGCCTCCCGGAGTTGGGTCAGTGGAAGACAGGACGGCCTGGCATGCTCTGGTCCATGGGGTCACGAAGAGTCGGACATGACTAAACGACTAAACAACAACAACATGATGCAGAATAACTTGGTTGACCAAGAGTGCCATGTACTGTATCTTGAACTATGTGAATGTAGTAGATGCTGGTGTGCCTCAGGTGGCAAAATGTCTTGGGTCATCCTCAAGCACGAGCTTTCCATATACAGTAACAGGTCCTTCTTCAGGCCGGAAGAACCAGGGAACAGATAGGGGAGCAGATGAAACATCTGCCTTGTATGGAGATACCTTCCCAAGAGTCTTCAACCTATTCTGGTTATGTGGGGGCTAGAGCTGGTGACGACAATCTAACTGAGACGAACACTGTTGCATTTCTCCAGTGGAAGGGTTGATAGATATTTCCTGTGCTCCCTGCTACCAGTTCTTGAATACGCAAATATCTGCAACAGAGGAGTCTGTCACCTGGGATAATTTGCCACCTAAAGAGAAAAGACAAAATGGTGCCCGTTTCACATACAGAAGCCCGGTGGACTAGCAGCTGAATGTTACTTCCACAAAGGCAACTGGAAAACATCCTTCATAATTCATGATGATAATAGGTTAATTTTTAGGATGCATTGTCTTTTGAGAAAGGGAGGACTGGCGGATTTCAGGAGGATTGACTGGAGAGGGGAGCCATTGTTGAACCAGCATCTGTGGCTTAGAACAGAGGCTTCACTCCTTCCATTGGTAAAACCAGTCTTTGGACTGCAGAAACATAGCCATGACAACCACTAGCGCTTGGATACTCCAGCAGTGATATCTGACATTGAGGCAATATTTTCAAAAGCCGAGTGAGCCAGAAAGGTGAACCTGCCTTATCAAAAATAACAAGATTTCCCCCACCCCCCAAGGAATGTATCAAATGTCTTTCACACTAAGGGGCTCAACAATGGGTCAGTCTTTTGTATAGGAGAAATAGCAGATCCTGCTGTATTTCACACTAAGGGGCTCAACAATGGGTCATGCTTTATTGCTCTTTAAAAAGTGGTCTTCACTATTCTAACCCAAAATATTTACAGAGTAAGATTATAAAAATCACATACCTGTATACAGATGGATTCAAGTATATGGCAGACGTAGTGATAATAGCAGTTGTGGAAATAATGGTTTTCATATGAATGCGGGTCAAGAAGGGACTTGTTTTTCCCCAAGTTCCAGAAGTAAAAGCATCCATGAGAAGGAATTAATGTAGTTATCTATTTATCTGCTTAAAACAACAAAAAAATCTAGCCGATATTTAGTAACAACTGTAGAAGGGGGAGGATTATGCTCAACAGTTAGGTGAGGAAGCAGCAGAATTCACACATGGAGAACTGGATTTGTTGTTGTTGTTGTCATGTGCTGTCAAGTTTCCCATGAATGGATGATCCCCAAAATGCAAGGAACAAATTAAAAAATGGCTCCCTAGATGCCTGTTCTTTTATGCCTGCTGTGTTTGCTAGAAACAGGATCTTCTTGAGAAAAGCAGGATTTTTTTTGGTGTAATTTAGAAGTTGGTGATCCAACTGCACAAACACCATTGGGCCCACTAAGTGTGGCTCCCAGGGGCTGTTTAGACTTTAGGATGCATAGTCAGTCCTCATGTGTGATTGAAGTGCTGCTTGCTGGATTTTGCATACTTCTGCTACCTTTGGGATTTCCCCATGCCTGCCAATACCTCTGTCTTGTGTGTGGAATGATGCCACCTGGACAACATAAGGATACATGAAGAGTTTGCTGTCAGTATGCAGAGATACAAAGGCTCCAGTTCTGTGTGTTTATGACACACACAAACACAGAGAGAGAAAATGAGAGAATACCACCAGCAATCTTAATGGAGGACCAGCGTCTGAGTTTCTGCCAGCGGCTGTTCTCATTGGAACCGTCTGCCTTGCACACCCTCCAGAACGTGGAGCCAAGAAGGGGCCTCCCCACTCTTTCCTGCCAGTGTCTGCCTGGGAAGGGGGGTTGCCTCTTCCTGTGGGGAACAGGAGTGTGTATGTGTGTGTGTGTCGGGGCAGGGGAGGAATATAAAACTTTCCCTCCAGCTCGGTTAGCTTTTGAGTTTCTACTTTCCTTCTCTTCTGCCAGAAACTATGGAGGTGGGGAATGTGCGGGACAGGCATACTTTCCACCGTTTTACAAAAAAAGAGGAGGTTGTTGAAATTTAAAGATTTGGGAAATATCGGGTCTTGAGAAGCATGCAGGTTGTCTCCAGGAGGGTCATGGTTTGCAGTGGTAAGAACATCTCTTGCATGAGCAGAAACTCCAGCTGTGATGGACTTCGGTGTCTATCGTCACAGCCCTGCTGCCTAAGGTGATGGAGTTGTTATCTATTCCACCCCATGTCCTGTGGTCTACACCGCCCTTTGCCATTTTATTACCACAACCAACCCATGTTTATCTGGAATCAGGAGGACGCCTGTGCAGACTAGATTTTAGATCCAGCCTCCTTGGTTAGTGGGAAAATGTTACATCGAGAGGCTAAGAAGAAGCTGGTTTTTTGTTTGTTTGTTGCTTGGTGCAGAGTAAACAATGGTGCGTTCACTTTAGCCAAAATTTGTTCTACACCTCATGCAGAAAAGTAGGTAAGTGCTTCTTCCTACCCAAAACCCCCCATCCCAGCAGAAAAATTACAATAATAATAGAATCAACAATAGACAGTTTGCTCTTTTTCTTAAGATCTGAAAACTTCCTGAGGCTGCTTGTCTCTGTCTAACATTAGGGCCGGCCTCCCTTGTGAGCAACATTCTCTTGTGAGATTTCTGGACGTTATCCTACAATGTCTGCTGAAGTTGACTGCAGGAAATGATGAAATAAACAGAGAACTGGTCATACAAATTGTGTCCGTTCTAAAGACTTGCAGGCTCATTGACACATTTCTGCCCCTGCCCAAAAAGGGTTTTGAAAAGTTTGTTTTCAGTTCCCTACCGCTTGCACTGCTCAGTTACGCATTTCTGCGTGTTTTTCAATGCTGGTTGTCCGCAGTCTAGCTCCGACCCGATTCTGTCATTTTCATAATTTGCAAAAATAAAAGAAAAAAAGGAAATCATTTTGCAAAGCCATTTCTTCTGGATTCTCAGAAAGAATTTCTGAATTCTCAGAAAGAATTTCTGAAGCCAGAAAGCAGGATTGTTGTCCTTCCACCCACACCTCCTTCCCCAGCAGCCAAGAACGTAATTTTGAAATTGTGGTTTGAGGATTTAAATGCGGATCACTGTGCATAACAACCAGTAGGCACAGACACACTCTGATTCTTCACGAGGTACAGCTGAAAGACGGGACATAATGGCTGCCTCTTACTGTCGGGGGCCCCCTTCTCTTACAGTCTCTCCCCCCCCCATTTCCTTTGCTGGGTGGAGCTGCGGAAGGAATGAGCTCACAGCTGCTAATGTATTCCAGATGAGGCCTCGGCTGCTCCATTCGCAGCTCTTGGCAAGTTCCCAAACTCTTTTCTTTCGTGCTGCCCCCCTATTCCCCCTGTTCTTTTAACACACAGCCGATCTCTGTGCATGCCCCCCCTTCCCTTCAAAACAGTTTCCTTGCTGCCCTGGCTGGCATGGCAGGCCAGTAGGGGGCAGCGCAGTCCGGCCTCTAGGTAGGATCCTTAAGCCTCTGGTAGCTGCTGCAGGTAATGTGGTGCCAAGGCCATATGACGAGTTGTGTGTGTCTCCCAAGAGTGAGAAAACAGTGAAGGATGTGCACCTATGTGGAGATCATGGCACTGCACTGGAGCTAAAGGTGGCTGTAATTATTCTCCACTGCTTCAGGGTGAAGGGGTTGACATGGATACCCAGAGGGTTGCGTGGGCTCTATAAGGCCCTGAGGGTTTGGGGAGGACAGGATTGGTCAGCCAGGGGCTCATGGAGGCCCGCTGTCTCCTGTTTCCAATATGTTCTTTGATGTATTTGCAGGAACCTGAACCTGTGGAAGAATGCGTCCAGAGCACCCTGGCTGCCTTGTATCCCCCCTTTGAAGCCACTGCCCCCACCCTGCTGAGCCAGGTTTTTGAGGTGCTCGAGCGGACGTACCAGCACGACGCCCTGCGCTACACCCTCGACTTCCTTGTTCCTGCCAAGCACATCCTGGCTCGCATCCAAAGCGAAGCTTGTGTGAGTTATTGCCTTGGTTTGGCTGTCTGTTCCTGTGGGCTACCCCTGAATAGGAAAAAAATTGCTCAGCCGCACAGGGCAGCATAAAAGCCGTCAATGCCAAGGCTGGAATCCCACAATGGACCTCTTGTTGGGAGCTTATATTGATCTAAACAGGGGTTGAAAACCTTTATTTTGAACAACCGTCCCAGAATTCCCAGCTGGCATTTTCAATGGTAAAAGGGATATGGGGGGTGTGTGTGGTTCAAATAATCAGTGGAAGGTAGGACCCCAGGGTAGATGTTGTGATCCAGCAACATGGAGAAGACTGATAGGTTTAACTTGGGGACATTTTGCAAAGCTAGAGATCAGCTCTAGAATTTTTTTAACACCATTGATTGATTTATACTCCAACTTTCTTTATAAAAGGATCCCAAATCATTTCTTGAAACTTTCACATAGATAAATGTGGGTTTTTCTTTCTCCCGAGGATTGACAGTTTCCCATGATTTTACAATCCTTTGAAATGTTAATCCATAATTTGGACTTCCATTACAGTGGTACCTCGATTTAGGAACATCTCCACTTGCGAATATTTCGAGTTACGAACGGCTCCGTTTGCAGAATGTTGCTTCGACTTGCGAACGGAGCTTCGCCTTACGAATGAAAAAAAAATCTTTCCTGCCCTTTTTTTGACCTAAGTTCATTTTAGATCAAAAGAAGAAGAAAAATTCACCCCCTAGTGGTAGAGTACGGATTAACCGGCTTTGCACTAGTTCCTATGGGAACTAATGCCTCTGCTTATGAACGGTGCCTCGACATACAAACGAAAAACAGCCTGAACGGATTAAATGGTTTTCAATGCATTCCTATAGGAAATCTTGCCTCGACTTATGAACTTTTCAATGTACGAACGTCATTCCAATACGGATTAAGTTCATAACTCAAGGTACCACTGTATTTCTTTCTGTAAGCTGTTGCACCAGGGGAACTCCAAGGTTTTGAAGCCAGAGAACACCAGCTCTTGTGTGAAGCCCAAAGCCAGGTTTCAAGCCCAAAGCCAGGTTTCAAGCACCAGGGTTGATTTGATTTAAATCAATTTGATTTAAGTCGCAATCTTAGTCATGATCTAAATTTTTTAGAATTGAATTTTTCAGTTTAAATAGTATTTAAATGGTTACATAAACCAATTTGATTTTTTAAAAAAATCGTTGATTTTTATCCACCCTGGTGAGAGTATTCTTCAAAGTTAAATGACTGTTAAGTGCCAGGAACCCAGAAGGGTTGCTTAAAAGGACTTCTCGTAGTCGGGATGTGACATTTTGCCCATCCATGAGTTTGCCAAAACTGAAATAAACTAATGTGCGAAGTAAACCAGTTTGTGCAAATTTACTTTGTTTAGACAAGTCACCAAATCAGGTATTTTTCCTGATGCCCAGTTTGGCTGCTTTGCATCTAATTCTCCCTCCCCACTTCTCTCTTGTGTTCCTTTTTAGGCCCAGTACAGCGGTTTTGTGTTCTGCCATGAAGGTTGGCCACTGTGCCTTCGCGATAAGATCGTTGTGCAGCTGGGCTCCTTGCCCTGGCAACGCCTCTGCCCGGGGGACTTCTATCTCCAAGTGGTGCCTCATCGGGAGTGTGCCCCCCGCCTGGTGCTGAAGTGCCTCTCGCCGGAGAGCCACAGGGGGGTTCAGGAGCTTCCTGTGTCCTCCGACTCCTACCCCTTCCTTTTCACGGTTGAATGGCTCAATGGCATCAACAAGGAACGCCGAGGGGGGCGCCTGGAGCGCTGCCTGCTGGCAGCTGGGGAGAAGGTCCTGAGCCTGCCCTGGTCTGAACTAGTGTACCCCCAGTTTGTGCACAAAGACGGATTCATTGTGGGGCAGCGCTGCCCTGCAGATTTGACTCCAGAGGTGCTAGGGGCCCGGAGCCCTGGCGACGGACGTCACTCTGGTGGGGAAAACCGAGAGTCGGAAGGCGAATACGTTCACCTCTTGGAGGTCAGCCCCACCGTGCACCAGCCGCCCAGGATCCTACAGCCTTGTGGCGCACAGATTCAGACCATGCCTGCCCGCAAGGGACACAGCAAGACCCGGAGCCGCCGCCACCGGGCCTGGCTCCACCATAAGTCAGGGTGTGGAGAGAACTTTGCCTTGCGTCAAGCTTTCAAAACCCAAGAGGCAGAGAGATCCAGCCAAGGAAGTGGTACCCAGAGAGACAGGGCTGATAAGTCAAGAGGAAGTCCTAGCCCAGTCCTGGGTCAAACATTGGAAGCCTCTAAGGGAGTAGGGAGCGCGAGTCCTGAGGAACTAGAGCAAAAGCTAACTCCCTCTGGAACTCAGGTAAGACCAGCCATTTTTGGTGCTGCTGGTGCTGCTGAGGACATTGGACTAGAGAAAGCAGAGTTCCCAGGATCTGGTCACCAAGATCCAGTTCATTCCAGAGAGGGTGGCAATGGAACCCAGTCTCCAGCATTAGCTACACCAAAACGCAGCAGTAAAGGAAACCGTAGGAAAAAGAAAGGGGCTGGGAGAGGGGCGAGAATTAGACAAGGAGGTGATTTGACTAGCAAAGAAACAATGGTATCAGCTGATGTAAAAGAGGGTGAGAAGGAAGAAGCAGACATTGGTTCCAAAGAACAGGATTCTGGGGTGGGAGAAGCCATCACTGGTACTAGAGAACAAGCAGGTGGCACTGAAGAATGCGGTGTTGTTGGCAACTTTGAGGGTAGTGTTCCTGAGGACAGAGGTGGCATCGCAGAGGAAAGCTCCATTACTGGAGAGGAAGCTCTTTCTGCCAGCGAGACGGCTGCTGGCACCAGCAAAAGGAACGTTGGCACCAAAGAGACAGAGAGTGGCACAGAAAAAGGTTCTGTTGGCAATGGCGGCAGTAACGCTGGCACTGAAGAAAAGAGCATTGGCGGAGAAGGCCTGAGCGTTAGGACTGAAGAGCTGGCTGCTGCTGCAGCGGAGGCTAATGAACCAAGAGCTGGCACACCGGAGCAGAGCCTTGGCATCACGGAACATGGGGCGGATGGTTCCGAAGCACCGTGCGTGGGAGAACAGGGCCTCCCCGTTGGCACCGACCAACCAACACCAACGACGTTGTCAGGGGAAAATGAACTGAGTCTTGATGGACCAGAGGAAGCCTCAAGTGTAGCAGCTGATCCGGGGACAGAGGAAAGACAGAACACCCCTCTCTCTGCTGGGCCTCCCCTTGGACATTCTGTGGACTGGGGACTTCTACAATCCGGTGTCTTTGCTCTAACAGGTAAAGTCAGTAAAAGGACATGTCTGGGCTGTGGGAGTCAGCGGTGGGCTTGAAGGTGGCTTGATCAATCCTTCTCATCCTTGGAAAGAAAGAACAATTGGAAGAATTGCCTTTTTTTTGGACTACATTTTCTTGAATTCCTCCAGTCAGCATGGCTGCTAGCCATGCTGGCTAAGGGGTTACAGAAGCTGTAATTAAAAAGAGGAACTTGTCTAAGCTTTAGAAGTAATATATAGAGAACATTATTCTTTAACGCAAGGATGGGCAGCACATAAGCCTGCCTACGGCCCTGCTCTCCTCATTGCATTCCAGCTGCCTCTGAATTTTGACAGTGTAGCATGACAAAGCCACATTTTGCTTTATGAAGAGAGCACGCAGGGAGTGCGCGGCACATCTCCAGAACAATTCTGTTTTGTTCTGTCTTTAGTGCATGTGGCATAGTTGCTTCTGAGTTTGCTCAACAAGGTATTCAGTATAAGCATAAGCCCTATTCATTTCCATGCACAGATATCCATCTTCTGTAGCAGCAAGTTGAGAGTCTGCAGTGGCAAACCGGAGATCACAGAATACTCTGCTGGGGAAGCAAAAGGATGCTAGGCTCTGTTTTAAAGGAGGGACATCCCAGGAATGGAGGGAGTCCTGCTTTCAAGCAAGCTGCCTGCTCTTAGAGAGCCACTGCCGGCTGGTTTGGAGCAGATGCTTTCCATTGGTTGATGACGCTGAGTGGCAGCATCAGTCATCATCATCAAATACATAAAATTGATCTCTTTTATATATTTCTGCCTTTTGTTGTTTGATATTGATGAGTGTTTTTAAAATCATCATTTAGTTTAGCAAAGTTTCCTTTCATCAGTTTCTAAAGTAATCATTTTCCTAGGAATAAGCAGTAGGGTGAAGAACAATATAAAAGTATTCTAAATCGATTAAGTGCATGGGTTGTCAATGCAAACCACCAGCCAGGTTGCATTCCAAAATTCTGTATGGGCAAGATCTCCACAAAACAATTCTCCTTAGGCGCTTTGGATGGCCTGTCCTTTAGCCAGCGCTTTTGCCATCTTGTTAAATATCATGCCTCCCTGCTTGCCACATCATAGCAGTTTGAAGAAACCGCGCCGTCCCTCCAAGCTACAAGACACAGCCCAAAATAACAAAGGAGAACCCTGCCATGTTGCTGTGGCTTGCAATATGGGAGGCAGACCTCCCCGAGGATGGCTGTGGCTCAGTAGACGCGCAGACCAAGGCAGAACCAAAAGGAAATGGGGCTGGCCGGCGGGAAGATGAATGAAGAGAAGATTAGGGCGAAAGTTGGGAAGGCAGCAGCCGAGTTAGGAAGGCAGTAAATAAAGGAGGCTATCTGCTGTTGGTTCCTGTCATCGAATATATAGATAGAACTTGGGGAAGTTGCTTTTTTTTAAAAGAAAAAAAGAACAGCTCCCAGAGCACCTGCAGGGATTTGGCCAAAATATTTTCTGGAGATGCAGATTGAGTTTTGAGCATTTTCTTTTTCTGCCCTTTTGGAACAGACTGGCAAGGTGGACAAAGCAAAATCCCAGCATATATTCAATTCCCAGAGGAAGGGGATGTGAAGCATCATGAATGTCTGACATCCCGATACCATGAAAAATATTTTAAATGTTTAATTAAAAAACACACACACACAACTTCTGGGGCCATGACAGAGCAGTTTCAGTTAAATATCCCTATCTGGGGCCACGACAGAGCAGTTTCAGTTAAATATCCCTATCTGGTTTATTCATTTGTTTTTAGTTTTTAGTCTGTTGTATTTTAAAGTTATGAAATATGCAAATTAGCTTATTTAGTCATGCCCCTCCTTTTTAGCCTATGGCTAAAAAGCCCTTGAGCTGTCAGAAAATTGTAAAAAAAAAACCACTGAGATGGTCCACCAGCTAGGCTCACCCATTAGGTTACCTGTTGCAGCATTCATTCATTCATTGAATTCCTTTTTATTGTTTTTACCCTGTCTTTCTCCCCAGCAGGACCTAAGGCAGCTTATAATATTAAAGCAGACAGTGTTTAAAAATTAGAATTAGAAATTTCAAAGCAAAGAATGACAAAAAAAGATGTACAGGATACAAACACATAGTACAAAGAATCACAGCCCTTGAGCTTTCAGAAAATTGTAAAAAAACCAACTGAGGTGGTCCACCAGCTAGGCTCACCCATTAGGTTACCTGTTGCAGCATTCATTCATTCATTGAATTCCTTTTTATTGTTTTTACCCTGTCTTTCTCCCCAGCAGGACCTAAGGCAGCTTATAATATTAAAGCAGACAGTGTTTAAAAATTAGAATTAGAAAATTCAAAGCAAAGAATGACAAAAAAGATGTACAGGATACAAACACATAGTACAAAAGATACAACAGGCAAGTTAGATTTTTTTTAAAAAAATCGCAGTTCACAAATTAACCAATGCCTATGGTGCATGAGATGGGAAATTCTCAGGGCCCATCCAGAAGAGTTGGGATCTCTCCTTGAACAATATGTGGGGTCTACAGGAAGATGGGAGAATCATCTAACCTAAAATCATCTAACCTAAAAAAGTTTGCAGCCCAATTTCCTATCGCTTCACATCTCACCTGGCAATTCAGGAGAACTTGATGGCTTTCTTGTAAGGCTTCGTGGGACTTACCCATGTTTGACAGGAGAGAGGAATGGGAAAATGTGTTTCTTAATGAACTTTGTTGTGTTAGATTCCATGCTTATGTGTTTTGTATCCATTGCTACAGATGGAATACTTGATAGGAATGGGTAGGAAATGGAACATTTGGATCGGTGGGAAATTACAGCTTTTTCTGGAACCTAGAGAGCAATATGACCCTGGGAAGATGAAGCAGTAACTCTTTTATGGAGAATGAGCTCAGGGTTTCTTCCTGTAAATATAGTTTTTTAAAAAGCAGCTGTTCTGGTTTAATAGGTCAATATGACTTACATATAACATAGGCCTATGCTAAAATCTGAATACCACAGCCCTCATATCAGATCTTATATTACCTCTGTTTTCGAATAAAACTATCATTTTTCTTTCTTGAAATAATCGTATTTGAATCTTTCCACATGATTACATGGCAGAAAACCTAAATGTTGATAGGATGTTGGAATCAGTCCTGTGTTTCTAAGGAGATGATGTGTTTGCCTCATTCATATGCTGCAAGTTTGGATATATACACATGACACCGTAGCATTTTGATTGTGTCAATGACCCTAAGGTTCTAGTTGATTGGCTTAATCCTAATTTTGCCTTCTGGAATCTGTTCTTGTTTGCCTTCTAATCCAGCATATTTCCTTCTGACTGTATTCCTGCAGAATTTATTTTGATTCCGTTTCATCTGCATATTGTAATGGATGGATCCCCATAAGCAGAATGTCTTGTCTCCTTTGCCTGTTTTAATACTTCCCGAATAGCATGCTGGGAATAGCTATTTCAGATCTCCCTATCTATCTAGGAGTGCAGAACATGTGACCTACAACTAGATGCTATTGAACTCCAGTTCCTATAATCCCTAGTCAGCCCAACCATGACTATAGTCCAGTAACATCTGGAGGACAGCAGATTCCTAACCCCTGCCATGTGCCCTTCCACAGAGCATGACAATATGAGATCACTGTGAAGATTTTAATCAAGTTTGAGGGTTGCAATCTGGAATGGCATTTTTATCCATGGGAGACCTCAGTGTCTTGAAAGGAATCCATCTTTTCCTTTGGGAAACACAGCTGTAATACTGATGAAGGTTAGAAGACAGGAACAAGAACTCTCTGGCCCAGTGGTTCCTAATGGACAAAACCTCCCAGAAGCTTTCACCAGTAGCTGTGCTGGGCAAGATTTCTGGGAATTGTAGTCCAAGAACACCTGGGAACCAAGGGTGGGAATCACTGCTCTTGCTTGACGGCTCAGTTTACACAAACAAGTAAGTGTGCAGGGCTGTCCATGTGGTGATTTGCATTGTACACTGTGTAGTGGTTTACAGTGAAATGAAGGGTTCATTGATATTTAGAGTGGTATCCAGCCTGAACTTATGATATGAGATCGATAGCCATTGCTAGTTTCAGTGGTCTGTGGATGGCAATAGGGGCATGGCTATCCTTCTATCTCTTTAGTGCCAGCTCTTGTATGTCTGGCATTGGCAGTCTGAGTGGCAGCAGAGCTCAATATGAGTCTGTAAGCTCTGTCAGGACTAAATTGTGTTACACTTTTGTTGATGCAAATTGGGCCTGGGGGCTCTCCTAGTCCAGGGTGAATTGATGTTGAGCTGGACCTCATGTTTTCCTTGTCTTTCACTTACAACAGGAGGAGTAGATATGGCGGGTCGCTCCTTGCTGACTGTGGTGCCTCAGCCTCTTCAAGATGAGCTGCCTCCTGGACAAGAGGATCTGGTCAATACCTTGAGATACATGCACTCCCTACTTAGGTAAATTGCCATGAGGAGGCGTGAGGCAGCTGCCTCAGGAGGTGGCAGATATTTGGGGTTTCAGCATTAATTTCCCTCTCCCGTGTTCTTCCTGAGCCAGTGCCATGGTAATTATGGCTGCAGGGGCCATCTAAGCCATTGTGGTGCCTCAGCCAAAGGATAAATTGATGACACAATTTCCACCTGTAGAAGCAATTGGGATTGGCGGTGAAATTTTATTTTGATATTAGACATGCTGTTGTAGCATTCTACTGAGAGCGGTCAACCAGCACTCGTGTGGTAGACTAGCACAAAGCAAGCCACATGAACCACACAGCTTTGCCCCTCAGCACGTCACTGCCATTCCCCATCCCTCTGCTTCTGCCTCCTCACGCAGCTGCCTTTCTCTGCTTAACGGTAGGGTTGGCCCTGACTCTTGTATGCTGTTGATTTGAACTGGCTGCTGTCTTGCTTAGCTGCCTTTTCCTAATATGTCACACAACGTTTACTGGGCAAGCAGCTGCCCTCAGGTGCATCCTGTTGGCAGTGTTAAAGACAGATTCATCCCTTTGGCTTCTGCATGTGGAATGACAGGGGGGCAGATGTTGCCATATTCATACAACAAATATCCTGGGCCAACCCACTACATGTCCTCCTCAAGAGGCTTCCAGAATTATCCCTCTGAAAAATCTTCTGGGTCTCCCTTCTGAAGTAACAGCTGTGCTGCTTAAGGAAAGCTCCTTCAAATGAGGTTGGTTGTTAGGATTTCCTTCCAAACAATCGATTGAGGCAGGTGGAGAATTCAGGAAATTCTCCTCATGAAATCATAACTGAGAGGAAACTGCTACGGAAAACCATTAATGGTCTAGTTGGCTTGAAAGTGGCTTGTTCCTAATGTGTGGTTGTTTTTAATAGAAACTTTTAAAAGTGCCTTGCAACTACAGTGCTTTTGTTTTGAAGCTGTTCACCTGAAAAAGCCCCGGTTCATATTTTGCATCAGCAAAGAATTCAGTTGATGGCTTTAAGCAATCATTTCTTGATCTACAAGAAAAGATTATTATAAAAACTATAATGTTTACTGGGATGGTCTACACGGGATATTTCATACACATAAATACACTATGAAGTTATGCCCACTTGATGTCTGTTCTCCACATCTTCATTTGCATTTGCTAATAACAAGTCATGCTCTGATATACTCTGTGCATACTAAACTGGTGCATTAGACGTAAAAAAAATGAAATAAAAATGCAGTTATAACTTCAGTCCCTCCATCTGTAGACTGGGTATTATTATTATTATTTATTTGATTTATACCCCGCCTATCTGGGCGACTCGTCCACTCTAGGCGGCAGTTTGAACATAATGTGGATTCATTGTAGGGATGATATAAGGAAACGTACTGTGCAAGTCCTTACCCAGCTTGCTGGGGGAGCAATATCTAGTCTGCATAATTAAACTGTAAACTACCCAGAGAGTGCTTTAAGTGCCATGCGGCTGTGTATAAGGAGCATGCTTTGCTTTTAGACTTCCAAGTGAATTGTCTAGCCAGTTTCAATACACTGTGCCTCCTGAAGCTGTGATTAATGTGTATTAACCCTTGGAAAGTCAGGGAGAACAACAGCCTCATCTCTCTCTTGTCTCTTCATACATGTTCCAGGCAAGAGCTGAAGGCCCTCGGGCTGACCCTGCTTTTGGACCTCAGCCAGGTAGATGACTGGGTCCTCCAGGCTCCTGTGTTGCTGCCAGCTTTAAGGACATTTCAGGTACCATCCTACCTCCTCTGAAAGAGCTCTCTTCCCATGGCATAACATTTTCTGCTTCTCTGCCTAGGAAGGCAGCCTCTAGGTCTTGCTGGTGACTGACCCCCTTAGGGCACAATTTATGAAGAATTGTTGTGCCTTTTTTAAACAAACAAACCTAATCCTCAGTACATTGTTACTGCAATAGCTTGGTGCTATAAAAATGCAAATGAGGGGAAAAGGAGTAAGCATATAGTCACTCCATTCCCTACTCAAGCGCTTGGGATGTTTAACAAGTAGTTGTAAAAGCAATAGTAATAATAGTTTTAGCAATAGCAACGGTTGTTCTGGTGGTAACAACAGCACTGGTAACAACAATAACATACACTGGTCAGCCACAGCATTAAAGCCACTGACAGGTGAAGTGAATAGCATTCATTATGTTATTACAATCCCCTGTTCAGGGATGGGCTGTATTAGGCAGCAAGTGAATAGTCAGTTCATGAATTCCATGTGTTGTATAGCAGGAAATATGGTCAAACGAATATATATAGTTATAATAAGTAATACAGTGGTGCCCCGCTAGACGATTACCTCGCAAAACGGTTTATTTGCTAGACAATGAGTTTTTGCGATCACTATAGCGCTTCGCGAAACGGTGCTTCCTATGAGCGATTTTTGCTGGACAATGTTTCGTTCTGTGTTTCGCAAGACGGTTCTTTTTTTTTGGGAGCGTTTTTCGCAAGACAACGATTTTGACAGCTAGGTCCACCACTTGCAAAATGGGTGGTTTTGGGACTGGTTTTCGCAAGACAGCAATTTTGACAGCTGATCCGCAATATGCAAAATGGTTTTCCTATGGGAGATTTTCGCAAAATGACGACGATTTTTCCCCACTGGAATGCATTAAATGGATTTCAATGCTTTCCAATGGGGAACCACATTTTCGCAAGACGATGTTTTCTCAAAACAGTGATTTTTGTGGAACGAATTAACATCGTCTTGCGGGGCACCGTTGTAATATGTTTCTGTGTCCTTACTGTTCAGTTGAAAGTGCCTTGTAAATTCCTTTACATAGGCTACTAAAACATTACTATATTTTATTTACTTTTCAAACTTCCCCACTTTCAGCAAAGGATGAGGCAGAGGCTTGTCCTGCTCTTCAGAGATTGGCAGATTTGGCACCACAGAACTGTTACTGAGCATCCTCTCCATGACCATGTCTTTTGCACCCCAAAGAACCCTATAGCTGTGCCCTCTATCCCCCTCTTGTCCTCTCCTCCTCCTTGATCCCGTGTCTCTCTTTTCTCCTCTTTCTCTGGTTCTCTCTGACCATCCCTTGAAAACAAGCCTTTGTAAAGCAAAAGCCTTTCTCTCTTTAGGAGAGTTCGGCACCCACCATCAGTCAGCTGCTGGTGGTCCTCCCGCCTGATGACCGCTTTGTACCTCATGAAGAGGAGCTGGCTTTAGAACCTGCAGTGGTAAGTCATCCTTTCTTGGGCTACATTGGGGGATACTTGTTAGGAAGAAGAGACAGATGCAACAGTTGTGAGATGAGGAGACAAAAGGCTGTAATGTATTGTAAAAATTAGATTGGGGTCTGGCTGCCTGTAGACAAATTCCAAGTAGATTTCCTCTTTCCCTGACATTTTGGAAATAGCTCGCTCACTCCCCAAGGCTTGCCATTTATTTATTCCAGACTTTCCATCCCATTAAAATATGTGAAGTAATATTGTCCCCCTCCAACACATGAAGGAGATAACTGCACAATGCACTTCTGCATAATTAACTCTAATATACAGTCTGTTCAAACCACAGTGGAATTCATGAGATGATTATGATAATGATAATAAGGATAACAACAACAACTCAGAAGTGGTTTACCCTTCCCTTCTTGTATGAGTATAATGGGACTGCAGCTTGCCCAAGGCCACTCAGGCTGGCTCTTCTGGGAGGCACAGTGGGGAACTGAACTCCCAACCTCTGGCACTGCAGCCGGATATCTAGGTCATTGAGCTACCAAGTATGAGATAGTGTGGTCTAATGTCAAACTAGGACGGAGTACATTAGTGTTCAAATCCCAAATCAACAATGAAGATCTTGGGTCACTTTTTATCTCTGCCTAGCCTGTCTCATAGGGTTATTGTGAATATAGGGTTGAGAGAAGGGAGAACAATGTGTGTTTCCCTCAGCTCTTTGGGAAAAAAATGTGATGTTTAAATGTTGTAAGTAGATAAATAAATCTGAATGAGGTTTAAATCACTAACACATGTGACATTGCCTAGGGAAAGTTGTGAAGAGATAAAAATAATAACCAAATGAATAAAGTGGAAAAAAATCATCTAGATATGATGATTCCCAACCTGGTGTTCTTGGGATTGTAAGTCCTAGAAATCCCAGCCAGCACAGGTGGTGGGGAAGGCTTCTGGGAATTGTAGTCTAAGAACACCTGGGTTAACCAAAGTTGAGAACCACTGCTTTAAGGCATACGTATATGTGTTTGAGAGAATTATAAACAAACACCTAAGAACCCTCTCAGTTTGGGTCTGATTTGAACTCTGGTGTTCATTTTTGTTGCTGGGAAAGGCAGTAAGTGGTGAAGGACTATAGGTGGGGCATTGTTGTGAAGCTGGAATATGGAAACATTGTGTGTTTCCTCAACCTACAGGAGGTGCTCCTTCTTTCTGTCCCTGAATTGCCACATTATGTTGCCCTGGACCAGTTGACTCCATCACTAGGTGGGACGCTATCCTATTCACCACTGAAATGGGTTGCAGAACACCAGGTAAGCAAGAATAGTAATCCTGTGACACTGAGCTTGCTCCACAAAGTTCACCCTTGCAATCAGTCTTTTCTCCTTCCAACAAAGCACAGACACCTCTCCCCCTACACACACCTTCCTCTCAAACACATATATTTTGATGTATTTGCTCATTGCTCTCAATCATCCTTTCCTCTTCAGCCTATCTGCTTATCCCTGATATTTGCAAAACTGCCCACTCCACCTCACCTGAAGCTGGACCCTGTGTTTCTTCTGCTTCACATGAGGCCACAAGCTACAATACTATAAATATAGAAATGCTATTAACAGGTCACTGTGTGTTCTCCTAGTATGAGTCAGTTCTTCGTGCTTTGTATATCTGATAAGGCTGGCCCTATCATTAGGCAGAGAGAAGCAGTTGCCCCAACTGGTAAAAGATGCTGAGGGACAATGATGGCATCTTTCCAGCTGTTCTCATGAATTTTGTGTTCTCCTCTGTTGGAGAATGAGGTGGTGTGTGCAGGGTCGAGGCATGATATTGGGTTGTCCAGTGCAAAGTTGTAACACACTGACTCCACAATTCCCATGCATATCCTCAGACATGATCTGCAATTTATCCATATATTTTCCTTCATCTTAATGTGGATTGCCAGATGGGCCAAGCCCCTTTGGACATCTACGCCCTGATAACTACATCGTAGCCCAAAATGTATGTGGGGCATAACTTGTCCCAGCCCCTTAAACTACCTTTCTGACTCAGGGCTGTCACTGGATATTATTCCATGGTCAGTACTGAAGTAAGGTTAAACTGCCATCTAGTTAGCTTGTGTTTGTGAGGTAGAGATGAGACAATGTCTTGTTTCTTTCTTCAGGCAGAAAAATAATAATAATAGAATCATAGAAGAAGTGATATGGAAGGGGTCTCTAAGGCCATCGAGTCCAACCCCCTGCTCAAGGCAGGAATCCAAATCAAAGCAGATCTGACAGAGGGTTGCCCAATTTTCTCTTGGATATCTCTAGCATTGGAGCGCTTACCACCTCCCGAGGAAATTCGTTCCATTGTCGTACTGCTTTAACAGTTAAGGATTTATTTCCCGATATTAAGCTTAAATCTGGCTTCCTGTAGTTTGAAACCATTATTATGTGACCTCTCTCCGCAGCTGACCACTTCGACAAGGAGACAAGAAGAGTGAGTGGTCAGCTGAGGGGAGGGGCAGCCCTGGTGGGACCACATCCGCGCTTGGCATGATGTTGCTGCCATTGGATGTGTGCAATGCAAGGAGCCCAGTGAGTGGACAAATATGAAGCTGACATGTCTACTGGGAACAGATCCTGCCGCTCCTTTGCATGACCTTTCAAGTCTTTGAAAAGGGCTATCGTATCTCCCCTGAGTCTTCTTTTCTCAAGGCTACACATGTCCACTTCTTTCAGTGTTTCCTCATAGGGCTTGGTTTCCTCATAGGTTGTAAAGACACACGAGTAGGCCATCACTGATTTGTGTGATCCTTACCTCTCTCTCCCCCTCTGCACAGGCTCTGGAACAACTACAAGCGCTCTGCCACAGTGTCTTGCAGGCTGTACATGAGGCTAGTGCCCACCTCAAGGATGTGGGATCTGCACAGAGTCAGGAGGTAAAAGTGTGTGACATGACTTTAGAGGTTGTGAGGGTGTGCTGTTTAACTCTGCAGATGGCAATCCTCCCCACCTCCACCTTGCACTTATAGTCTTGCATTATCTGTTATTTTGAGAGAAAAACTTTCAGCTTTCAGTCATAGTATGATAGTGCACATTAGGGATAAAACCCCTTGAACTCTGGACTTGCATTTGTTCTTCTCTATGTGGAATGGCCATGGAGAATGGTTCTCTGTTCTGTGAATAGTAAGAAAAGAAGTTTATCCATGTGTCCATTGGAAAAACCCAAAAGCAGAGTTTGGTAATACCTTACTGGGCCATCAACATTTTGGAAAAAGAGAGAGAGAGAGAGAGAGAGCACCTTGCACTTGTTACAGTCTTGCATTATCTGTTATTCTGAGAGAAAAACTTCCAGCTTTCAGTCATAGTACAGTATGAGAGAGAGAGAGAGAGAGAGGAAGCAAGCTTTCATGTCTTCCAAAGTTTCATCAGGCTGGATGTTACAAAATGTGAGAAGGCCAAGAAAGGAGGGAAAAGGAACATTCAGAATTCATCTAGCCAGACATTGTAGTCATAGGAGTTGCAACCACTGAGTTCCAAAATGGAGACTGAGGTGTGGTGTTACTCCATGCATCTCCATGGAGTTTAGAATCAGTTACACAATTATATTCAAAGGCCCTGTTTGTTTGTAAAGACACACGAATTAAAAAAATGGATGATTCATTGTCACGCCTTTGTGTATCTTGTAAATATATAGCAGCAATCATATAGATGAGAGATGCAGACCTGGATCTCACTGAAGTGGTGAACCAGTATCTGTCTATAAATGTCAGACAGTATGTGAGAGCTCATATACCGTGATGTTCCTCCATGTAGAAAAAGTATTTCATATAGAAAACAAGAATGTCAGAGGCAAGCTCTGCAATAGCACATTGTGTATTCCCTGCGTGAGGGATTTTTCATTTCTCTGTTTAGAGAAAGAACATTCAACTGCATGACTTTACACGTCAGACAGTATGTGAGAGCTCATATACCATGATGTTCCTCCATGTAGAAAAATATAGAAAACAAGAATATCAGAGGCAAGCTCTCCAATAGCACATTGTGTATTCCCTGCGTGAGGGATTTTTCATTTCTCTGTTTAGAGAAAGAACATTCAACTGCATGACTTTACACCTATAGCCAGAAATGGCCCAAAAACACAGACTGACAGTGAGAAATAGACCTCCAGTTTTTTTTTAAACTGAGACATTTAATGCAGATTTGCAAGGGTCAAGAAGTGTGTGCTATTATTGCTCTGTGTAGCTCTTTTCCTTTCCCATGACTAACAGAGAATTACTTATGCAAAATAGCAGATGTATTTAACTTTATACAGTAATTTGCATGACACATGCCCATTATAGAATTCACTTTGGTTGCTGTGAAATTCTGGTTACTGTGGATCTGGTGGCCTGTTTGCTTTTGTTTCTAAAGCATAGCATTTGTTCCTCTGTCCATCAAGGATTAGGGGCATGGTTTGGCTGTTTTGAAAACCTGTGCAGTTATCAACTGCCAAGTCAGCATTTGTTGTGCAGCAATAACATGTCATCACCAGAGTGTGGGGTGAAAAAAAAATGCAGTTTTGGACTTTTTTGGACTGCTTTTGCCTGCTCTCCCTGCCGGCTGAAGGGTCCTGGGAACTGCAGTCCAGAAAACCTAGCTTTTCTTGAGTTCTGATGGCCACACATCTTTCTGTGTTGCTGGGGGTAGACTTTAGCTGCCTCAGTCTTAACCCCCTCCCCATGCTTTGCTGTGCCATCATCAAAGATTTTTCATTACCCCAGGAAGCGTCAGCACAGATCACCTTGCACCAAGAGACAATGAGGAAGTTGCTCTCTGAACCTCGTCTCCTGGAACTCCAGCGGCGTGGTGGGTCTTTGCTGGCACGGCTGCCCCCTCTGGGTCCCTGCAGGTGAGGACCAGTAGTTGGAGCCTAGCAGGAGCCCAGGTCCTGTTTGCTCTTCTTTGAAAATTCTTCAGCAGTTTGGAAGAACACCCTCTGGAGCTGCTGCTTGTTTGCAAAATTACGTGTGTGGGGAGGAAAGACTGGCACTTGTTCATATTTTTTAAAAACACACTATCGACTTCAATGTTGCTCACTTATGTCACCTGCACGTTTGAATTGTGTTGCAGGCCTGCCTCAAGACATGTGGCTACTTGAGGCAGAGTGACCAATATCCTCCTCATGTGCTAAAGTCAAGGTACATAATAACCTAAGTTAGTCACGTTGTTTCGACACCTTAAGCAGGAACATCTCTTCATGGCAATAAACATTCCATCATAATAAATTTCCATCATAATAAATTTGAAAAGCCTGCAAAAGCAGAAGGCAACAGGAAAAGAAGAAGACTAAATAAGAGATAGATTCACTCCCATAAAGGAATCCACAGCCTTGTGTTTGCAAGAGCTGAGCGGGGCTGTTGAAGGGAATTAGCCTATATTATGTGCTGTCAAGTCAGAACTAACGTATAGCAACCCTAATAAGGCTTGCAGGATACATGGGATATTTAAGCAATCGTTTTATCACCCCCACCCCGTGTCCATGTGCAAACAAGGGTTCAAACCCAGGTCTCCTTAGTCCTAGTTTATAAGTCTATAAGTTGGAAACAACTTGGCAGCAAATATCAACAACAGCAGCAGCAAAAACCATCTGTTGAACTTTTGTGATACCCAAAATTTGCTTCCTGAAGCCAAAGCTTGAAACATTATTTTTAAAAAGTTATTTATTATGTTGTTTATTTCTTTTTTAAAAAATGTGTTTGTTACTCATTCGTAATTGTTTAATTACTAATTAAGTAATTATCATTTAATTACTAATTAAATAATTATTAACGAATTAATAATTAATTAATATAAGCTATTAATTCTTTAATTAATTAATTAATATAAGTTATTAATTAATTAATTAATTAATTAATTAATTAATTAAAGAATTAATTAAAGAATTAAAGAATATTAATAAAAATTATTAATATCATAGCATCTAAAAACACATTAAAAAGGGCAGCAGTTAGCTATGAAAGGCTGGTGTTCTCAGCAGCCCCTCGGTTGGCAAGTTTTGAAAAGCCTGCCAGAATAAGAATGATTTAAGAGACTTCCTAAAGCTTTTTTTTAAAGGGAAAAACACTTTAAAATACATAAATAGTCCCAAATGATAAAAAAATGAAAAAGAAAAAACATCAGCGTCAATTATTCCATTAGGCAATATTCTAAGAATAATAAGTAAATGTAGAAAAACCTTGAGCTCACATTTCTCAAAACTGCCCCTATAGAAGCACAGAAATATCTTTTCCGTGTATCATTTTAAAAAGACAGGTGTGTAGACTGTTTCTTGTAATGGCCCCAAAGATTATTAAATTGAAGCAGCCCTCCTCGCCAGTATTCAACTAGCCCTATGAGCTTCATCCTTTCTCTCAGCTTATGCAGAGAGGAAATGCCCCCATCCCCAGTGACCATTATTTGCCTTTTTGTTTCTGCAGCATGGAAGCTGTGGCTGCCACCAGGCTTTACCAAGAGGTGGATGAGGCCCTTCATGGACTTGTCCAGCTCAGCAACCGTCGGCTAGAAGTGTTGCAAGAGGAGCGGGAAATCATGCAGGTAATTCCTAAAGTGCCTCTCCCAACTGTTCTGTCGCAGGGATGTTGGCCAGGTCTTTGGGTCTGAGTCCAAAGTCCAAGTCCTTGTTAGCAAGTCCCAAGCCCTTGGTAAGATCTGAGTCCGTATTAAAAAGAAGCTTTTCCCCCCATAAAAAGGGGGTGGGTAGGTTCTGATTCGCAAGCTGAAGTCATTGAAAAAAACAAAACAAAACACCCAAGTCACGTTTGAGTCAAGTCACTGATGTGACTTAAGTCTGACTTGACAGGGACACAAATCCTCATCCCTATTATGTTATTCTCCCTCTTTCATTTCGTTTCGTTTCCTTTCCTTTATTAGATTTTTACCCCGCCCCCCCCAGACAAAGTCTACTCGGGGCGGCTTACACACATGAAAACATCATAATATAACAAATATCATAAAAAATCATTTAAAACATCATAATTTAACACTTATTTTAGATCATTGCCAAGATGAAATAATTTAAAAGACAAAGAATAAAGATCAGTTATTGACTGAAGGGAAGGCCTGCCTAAAGAGCCAAGTTTTTAAATGGCTTTTAAAAACACCCAGCGAGGGTGCCAGATGGATTTCTGTTGGGAGATTGTTAAATATCTGAGGGGCCACTGCCGAGAAGGCCTGGTTTCTTGTTCTTTCTTTCTGGGCGTCTCTCAGCGTTAGGCCCCTCAGCCGTCCTTGCTGGCTATGCCGGGTGATTCGGGTAGATCTAGGTGGGAGAAGACGATCTGCCAAGTATCGAGGGCCCAAACCGTTTCGGGCTTTGTATGTCATCATCAGCACTTTGAAGTCAATGCGGAAACAAATGGGCAGCCAATGCAAAGCAGCCAGAGTGGGAGAGATATGCTGATATTTCCTCACCCCACTAAGAAGCCTGGCTGCCACATTCTGCACCATTTTAAGTTTCCACATCAATCTCAAAGGCAGCCCCACATAGAGCGCATTACAGTGGTCTAATGTCGAGACTACGAGCGCATGGACAAGAGTAGTGAGGGCCCCCCCATCAAGATATGTTCCATAAGGAACATGGGGCCTATGAGGTCCTGGAAAAATTAGGACTGGTGAATATTTTTTTTAAAAAAACACCATAGGAAGATTGAGCAAAAGTAACATTTAGGTCTCTGAAGCTTGCCCGAATCAGCAAAATGAAGCCAGGGAAAATAAGGCAAATATTCTGCATGGGACGAGAGAGAAAAGTACATGATAATCAAAGCCTTAATGGCTTCTCTAAGAGCGGGTCTGAGGTGGTTGGAAGGGCTGGACGGGGCTGCACAGACTAGCTAGCACTACTCAAGGCCTAATTTTCCTTTAGCTGGAGATGAAGTGGGATTATATTACATGTAGGAGCTGGGCCTGGAGCAGCTCTGTGGAGGCAGAAGCTGGTAGTCTGTAGAAAAGCAGCGCATGATCCAGGAGATGTAGGAGACAAATAGGAATTCCTCCTGAAATTTGTGGGAAGGCAGAGATTCCTGATATCATTGTTAGCAAAATATTTTATTTTATTTTATTTTATTGGCAGTTATAGCTTGACTTTGGCTGTTGTTCTAAAGACAGAGGTTGAGGGTTGAATTGCTATATGTAAATGAAATTGGGTTTTTTTGCCAAATGGGTCAGCTGAGAACATAGAAAAGCCAGAGTACTCCTTGATGGACTGTGTGCGAGGGAGATAGAATCTGCATTTGTTGAAATTCTCCCATTCCGTGTGGAAACTAAAAAAAAAACCTGGAAAGGTTGCAACGGAACACAGAATCATGGACGAGGCTCCCTTCTTGCGCTAGTTTCCATTCAGAAAAAAAATGCACATCATCCTGGGAAATAGGAACAGAGCAGTTCTTCTGAAGTAACCAGTGGAAGTTCATTATGTAATTAGTACCCAGATGACTTCCACAGCTTTGGAAAAAGGTTAAAGGCAGTTCCTCCACCCCATCCATCCATCCTTAGCTCGCTGCACTTAACCCTGAGCCCTCAAGTTGGCCCTGCTGGAATGGGTGAACTGCCTGCAAGAAGCAGGGCAGCCCACTAGAGGCATTTTTTTTCTGGGACAGGCAAATGTTGTCACTTGTGTTTTGTTTTCTCTTTCTTCCTCCCACACCTTTCTACCTTTCTGGCCTATAGGTTCAGCAGCAGACTCTGGAAGAACAGGCGTGCTTTGAATCTGCCTGTGACGGTGGAGAAGAGAAGCGCAAAATAAGGAGGCCGACAGAGGGCCTGGCTGAGGGGGCCTCTCTGGAGAGGACACCGTTGCAAAGCCCTAAATCCCAAGGAAAGTTGCAGCCTTCCCCAGAGGCTTGCTGTGCCCCACGGCCTCGGGCCTGCAGCATCAGTGCCTCTTCTTCCCCCAAGCACGGCTGGGGCCTGAGCGCCAGATTCGGCTCCTCGTGCAGCCTGACCTCCCTCTTCCAGCCACACTCCAGCCCCAAGGCCTCTCCTTGCTGCTCCCCGACGCGAAGCAACGCTGCCTTGGAGAGTCACAAGAAGAGGCAGGGCAGCCCCAAGACGCCTTTCTCTCCCACGCCCCACATGGCCTTGCGAGCCTCGAGCGACCCGGGCCGCCCCAGCGTGCACATCCGTGGCCTGGAGGTGAGCAGTCGCGAACTGGCAGACAGGAGCTGCTCCCCCCGCGAACACGTGCTGTTGGGCCGCAGCGGGACTCATGTGGCAGAAGCTCCTTGGGGAGCCACCCCCCGCATGGAAAGAAGGCGCTGCCTTGGGTGAGTAGCGAGGAAGGATACGGGAGCCAGTGGGGAGCGGGGTGCCGTTGTGCCACTCTGGCCTGTGTTGTAGCGGGATGCTTCACACTTGCAAGAGGCCAAGAGGAGCCCAGATATTGTGGTGCTGCTTGGAGAAAATCCAGTTGATACGCATCTTTTCACTCACAAATGCAGGGTTTGATCGCCAAACCATTCCATCACACCAGCTTCCATAAGACACATGGAACTGCTCAATTATCACGCTGTGTCCTTTTTGGCGGGGCGTGAATCAGGAGGAGTTGCTGATGTGCTGTGCCTAGCGTGGTCACAAGTCCATTTGTAGGGAGGGTTTTTTGAAGGGCTCCGTTTAAAGCACTGACCAGTCCAATTCTGATTTAAAGATAAAGTACCCACAGGAAGGAATTCGGAGACCTTGAAGCTGCTCATCCACAGTTTGCAGGATCCAGAGAGCAGACTCAGCCAGCACAGAGAGAGCCCCTGGTCACGGTGTTCCCCACTGTGGTGGGTCTCAGTGAAACTATTTTTCAATCAGAAATAACATTTTTAATGTTACTCATGTGCATACAAATTAGCATACGGAGGATTGTGTAAATTGGTGTCTGCTTTTGTCCTCCTTTGGAGTGAGCCATAAGTAGACACCCTAGCTGTGCCTCACAGACCACACACGTCTGTCTCTCGCTGTGCCGTTCTGTGAAATTCAAACTCTGCCACTCGCTAATCTGCTAGCTAGCAGTCTGTTGCTCTTGGTATTGTACCGATGGTTTTTTTTAACTATGCCGGCCCACCCGCTTCTGGTTTTCTAGGCAAGGCTGAAGGGTTCGGCGAATGACTCTTCTTCCTCCCACTTTCTCCCCCCCCACCCGCCCCCCAGGGTCCAGCAGCAACTTCTGGCAGAGCTGTTGGAGTGTGAACGGGAGTACGTGGGCACCCTTTCCCAGCCCCTTTCTCTATGCCAGGAACCTGGTGGGCAGGCCTGGCCAGCTGAGGTGAGGTGCCTGGGCAGTGCTCTCCGGACCACCCGGGAACAGTTGCTGGCCTTCCACAACGGCTGTCTCCTGAGCGAACTGGAGGGATGCATGAACCACCCGTCATCTGTTGGAGGTTGTTTCCTGCGCCACGTGAGTGCCCCTCTCCTCACATCCATTGACAAAACCTTCTTTACCTCTAGGTTGAATTTGCAACTCGGGCGTCATCCTCAGAGTCTCGTGTGTGCTCAGCTATGTGACACAACCATAGAGAATACCACAAAGCATGCATAGAATCATGTATTTTTGCCAAGCACCGATTAACTATAAGTGTGCCTGCATACCTGGCAATGACAGGTAGATACCTGGGAATGGTAGGCTTCCAAGGAAAATAATGTGGCTTCCAAGCAGAGAGTATGTGCACATCATCTCTTTGTTTAGAAATAAATACATGAAAGCATTCACATCTTATGTTAAGGTAGGGATGGGTGACTTTGGGCCCAGCAAAGATTCTTGAACTACAGTTGCTAGCAGTGTTCATAAGAACGTAAAAGTCACGCTGGATCAGACCAAAGGCTAATCTAATACAGTATTCTGCTCACCCAGTGGCCAGCCCAGATAACCATGGGAAGCCAAAGCAGGACATAAGCACAAGAGCAGACCCTACTCATGTTCCTCAGCAACTGGTGTTCAAAGGCATACAGTATTGTAACTCTCATATTAGCTGTGCTGATTAGTTAATGGGGATTGCAGTCCGGTCCAGAAACCAAGCCCTATGAGGAAAGACTGAAATAATTGGGCATGTTTAGCCTTGAGATAAGAAGACTGAGAGGAGATATGATAACACTTTTCAAATATTTGAAGGGCTATCATAAAGAGGAGGGGCGGAATCTGTTCTCAATCACCCCAGAGTGCAGGACACGCAACAATGGGCTCAAGTTATGGGAAGCCAATTTTTGGTTGGATATCAGAAAAAAATTCCTAACTGTTAGAGTGGTACGAGAGTGGAACAAATTACCTCGAGAGGTGGTGAGTGCCCCAACACTGGAAGCATTCAAGAGAAACGTAAACAACCACCTGGCAGATATCCTTTGATCTGTATTCCTGCATCGAGCAGGGGGTTGGACTTGATGACCTTATAGCCCCCTTCCAACTTTATGATTCTATGATTTGGAGAGCCATAAGTTGTCCACCCCAGGATAACAAAAAAACAAACAAACAAACAAAATAGGGCCATAAGTTGTCCACCCCAGGATAACGAGGGAAAAAAGACTCTCCACTCCTGTATGGCTTCCTTCTTATGCCTGTTGCAGAATTCCTGCTTCTTTCTGTGAATGAAAAGGGGTGTCCTTCTCTTTGAGTTACTGCTTTTAAAAAAAACTTTACTTTGCCTTTAACAGTTGGGCACACTGAGATATAGCAGATGAAGCTTATCCTGGCATAATAATAAAGTGATGGGGAATTGTCTGATTAGCACACGTCCAGTTGCAATTTAAAAGTTGCAGCTACAAGGGCTGGGGTAAGAAAGATGGCAATCTTTCGTTGGGCTTGTGAAATAGTTTTTGTTTGTTTTGTTTCAAGTAGAGTAGTTGGAAGTCGGGGGAGGGGGTGAAAGGATTGATCTTTGCCATGCAGGCTCAATAACTTGCTTTCTTGCATCGTCAAGATGAACAAAAGAACCTGTACCTTTTTCCTCTCCTGCCTATAGGAAGAGAAGCTTCAACTTTATGCCACCTACTCCAAAGATCACCACAAGTTCCAGGCTGCGCTGACTTCCCTTCGTGCAGCCAGCAAGGTAGGAGTTGCGTTGGCTACACAGGATGTGAGGAGAGGGTGGAATTCAACTCTGACCTTTGTGGTGGGCGAAAATTGATAGATAGCCTGGACACCAGTTAAAGGGATGCCTTTGACTCATAATGAATTCTTTTCACCCCCATTTGGAGTTGGAATGCTTACGCTGGTGCGGGGGAGTGGCAGAGAGAATGACCCCAGGATGCAAGCGTTCAAGTGGGAGACTGCTCTACAATGATGAGCCAGCCCTACAAAGAGCCAGCTGTCTCTGTGTTGCATTTTGGAATCTTACGCATGGCGGTTCCAGAAAAGGCTTTTTATCTTACAATTGCCCTGCCTCAAATATGGAGATCCAGTTGCGTTTCTGATTTGTAACTTCAGTCTCTAACCATGGGCCTTGTTGGCTGCTGGGGGAGATTGTGAAAGTCCAAAAAAAGTGATTAAGCTTGGCTTCTTCTGTTATTTTCCTAACCAGAAAAAAAAATGTTAAGAGGGGATAGAAAGAATTGGCACACAGGGTCCCTTTGATTTATAGTATGTGGAGGCCACCATGAACTGCTGGATAGTTCAGTGGCTGTGGAGCCAGAAGTTGGGAGTTCGATTCCCCACTGTGACTCCTTGAGAGGGGCTGGACTCAATGATCCGTAGGGTCTCTTCCAGCTCTGCAGTTCAACAATGATGATGATGAACAGGAAACTCACTACCAGGGCCAGCACTGTTATGAGGCTCATTAGGGCACTGGCTTCAGGCAACTGTAAACTAAGGCTTGTAGATGGGGAAGTCCTACGTCACCAGGAGAAGCCATATGCTTTGGAGTTGAGCCTAATGTGTGGTGCTGGAGAGGGGAAGGTTGGCGCCTTGCTTCTTATCTTCTTTGCATCCATCAAATTTATGGATGACGCAAAATTGGATGGAATAGCTAATACCTTGGAAGACAGGAACATAATTCAAAAGGTCTTGGTAGGCTTGAGCACTGAAAACAACAGAAGGAAATTTAGCAGGGATAAGTGCAAAGTTCTACACATGAGGTGGGTTGGGGAACCCAAATGCACAGTTACAAGATGATGGGGTATACTTGGCTCAGTAATACTATGAGTGAGAAGGGTTTTGGAATTCTTACAGATCAAAGGCTGAATATGAGCCAACAGTACGATGTGGCAGCAAAAAAGGCAAATGCGATTTTAGGATTCATTAACAGAAGTGTCATTCCTAAATCCTTTGAGGTACTAATCCCCTCTATTCAGCACTGCTTAGGCCTCATCTAGAGTACCTGTATTGTGCCCAGTTTTGGAGGTTGCACTGTAAGAAGGACACCAACAAACTGGAGCAACTGAATATGAGCCAACAGTACGATGTGGCAGCAAAAAAGGCAAATGCGATTTTAGGATTCATTAACAGAAGTGTCATTCCTAAATCCTTTGAGGTACTAATCCCCTCTATTCAGCACTGCTTAGGCCTCATCTAGAGTACCTGTATTGTGCCCAGTTTTGGAGGTTGCACTGTAAGAAGGACACCAACAAACTGGAGCAAGTTCAGAGGATTGGAGGTCGCACGGTAAGAAGGACACCAACAAACTGGAGCAAGTTCAGAGGAGGTCAAAAAGGATGATCAGGAGACTGGAAATCAAGCCCTGTGAGGAAAGACTGAAAGAACTAGGCATGTTTTGCCTTGAGAAAAGAAGATTGAGGGGAGATACAATAGTACTTTTCAAATACTTGAAAGGTAGTCGTACAGAGGAGGGGCAGGATAATCCCAAAGTGCAAGACATGTAATAATGCGCTCACTATAGGAAGCCAGATTAAGGCTGAATATCAGGAAAAAAATTCTTAACTCTTAGAAAAGTATGACAATGGAACCAATTTCCTTTGGAGGTGGTGAGTGCTCCAATGCTGGAAGCATTCAAGAGAAAATCGAACAACTGACTGTCAGATCTGCTTTAATTTGGATTCTTGCATTGAGCAGGAGGTTGAACTTGGTAGCTTTATAGGCCCCTTCCAACTCTATGATTCTATGTGACAGGATGGCTTTGGCCACCCTGCCCCTTGCATCTTCATTTTGTCTTTGGATTTCATGGGTTCCCTGTCAGGCAGGTGAAGTAAGAAGGAGAGACCGAGAACCAGATGTTTTTGAGTTATGCTCCTGATCTGCTGCGAGCTGATTTCTTTCTTTTGTCCTGTCCTTTCCTGCAGAAGGCTCCCCCGGAGCTGCGTGAAGATGGGCCAATTGCCTGTGCTCTGCGTGCTCCTCTGGACCAACTGGAGCGGTACCGGCGCTTCCTGGGTGAGCTGCTACGCGAATGCGAGCTGGAGCGTGGGCCTGACCGCCAAGCCCTGCAGGAGGCCCAGCAGATGCTGGAGGCCCAGGAGCAGCGAGGCCGGGACCTGCTGGCCACGGAGCAGATCCGGGGCTGTGAGGTGAGCGCATGAGCGCTCCTGGTGTGCAGCGCTGCCTTTTCCTTGCTGCTTACTTGTGCATGTGCTGCTTGCGCTCACATCACTTGTCCAGTGCCCCACCCGGTTGTCCTTGATGCTTGTCAGGTTGAGGGCCTGGTGCCCGATATTGCTCTTACCCTACACTGTGGGGTCTTTGTACAGTGGTGCTTTTACCCCTTCTGATAGAACTGAGGGTGATGGTAGGGTATTGTGTCAGCCTCACGACTCTGAACAGCACTCTTTTATCTCCCATGCAGATGAAACTGTCAGAACAAGGGCCACTCTTGCAGCGTGGTGAGCTCACCTTGGTATGTGGGCGCCGTAAGTGCCAGCGGCACATCTTCCTCTTTGAACAACTGCTGCTTTTCACCAAGTGCAAGGGAGCTGAAGGTGGCTACATCTGCAAACAGGCCTTGCAGGTAATTCCAGGTGACCAGAGAATATTCTCTTGGGATTCAACTAATGTACAGTCTGGAGCTCCTCTAGTTTAAATGCATGGAACTGTTACTAGGAACTGGATTGCCCCATTGTAATCTGTTGGTGGAACAGCATGATTTTTTGAATTTTCATGTGACACAGATCTTGGAAGAATTTACAGAGAAAACGGTGGGTCGATTTACAATGGCATAGAAAACACCAATGTAATGGGCCGATTGAGCTGTAAAGAAAAATGAAATATAGCCAAGACAATATTACTCATTGGAAAGACAAATGCAAAATGGAGAGAGTGGGGGACTGTTCAGTTCACTACCAGCTAATCTGACTCAAGAGAGAAAAGTAGAATCCTAGAGGGAAGACAAGGCCATAGTTGTATGTGGCTGAAAAAGTCTGTGTTTGAGACCCTCTTCTTGTTTCCTGGTTCCCTTTGCAAGAGGACTGGCTGTTGTTTTTCCTACTTTGGCTGTTTCTGTGTAGACTTCTCATATAGACTGCCTATAGCCGATGGCCCAAAAGGAATATGTACTCGATTTTTCATTATTCCTGACCCCACCTCCTTTCTCTTTGTACAGACAGCTTCCATGGGGCTGACAGAGAGTGTGGGGCCTCGCGGGCTACGTTTCGAGCTGTGGTTTGGACGGGGAGCATCCCGGCAGGCCTTCACCTTGCAGGCACCTTCTGCTGAAGTCAAGCATCAGTGGACCAATGTTATAGCCCAACTGCTGTGGAAACAGGGTATGAAGATGTCAGAGAGAAAGGGTGGTTAGGAGCATTCAAGAGAGCAGGATAATTACCTCGCTTTAAGAAAACCTCATGGCGAAGCCTTCATATCGCCTTGAATACACCAGTTTATGTCTGATTTAGGATGTTAAGTAGGGTTAGGCCTGGTTACTACTTGGATGGGAGGACTCAAGATAATATCCAGCTGGGGTGAGGAAAGAATCGTGCCTGAAGTCCTGTTGAACTGCTGTCAATTTCAGCTGCTTATCCTGGGATAAAACTGAAAGAATGTAAGAAATGAACCAGGAGTGTGAACTCCCCTTCAAAGAGGGAATGGCTGCTTAATTATTTTTGAAAATGTTATTCATTCTTCAATTAAAATTACTGGCCTCTCTTATAATAATAATTTTTAAAAGCCCACACAAGCTGGCCTGCTGCCTTCGGGTGCAGTGCATAGCCCTGTCCTGTCACCACTGCTGAAGTCAGATTTGACTGGTATTCTACTTGGCTTCTGAATGTGAAAAGAGGTAGGGCCCAGCTTTGCCTTGGTTAGCAAACCTCTTGGGCCAGACCTGTCTCTCTTCGTGAGACATTTGTCAGCTACTGAGAAGAAAGTATGTTTTTTCTGTGGAAATGAAAGGAGGATTCTGTGGTGGCTTTCCTTAATATCACTGAATATGGTCTTGTTTGGGGAGAATATGTGGAAAATAGATCCCTACACTTAAAAAGTGCGCATGAATGATCTAAGAAGCAATATGCAGCCTTTTGATTTATCCATACAGCTGCTGCTGCTGTCCGTATGAGGTTAACATGCAGAAAGCTAGTAAAGGAGGTTGCATTTCAGTTTATCAAGTGGAGAGAATCAGAAAAACGTGGAGGAGCTCTGAAAAACGTCTGGAACATTCATCTCTTTCTCTCCCACCCTGCCTGCTTCAGCTGCGCATCCGGCTGTCTCTATGAGCATATCGTCCTGCCCTTCCCAGCGTTTAGCCCCTCTCGGTCTGGGTCCTGGGCCCCCTCCTGGTCTGTCGTTGCCTGGCCACTTTGAGGAAGAAGAATGGGACCTGGATGTCAAGCCCATTCCAAGGGGTGAGTTCACTGCCATTCTTCCATCTGCCTCGGAGAGTTGCTGCTCACGTCTGTGCTCAGCCATGCCTCCTTTTCTGTTCCTCTTAGTGGAGACTTCAGAGTCTGGCAGAGCATCCCCGAGCCACCCAGAAACACTTAGGCAAGGAAGAGGATCATTATCTGGCAGCAGCAGCTCTGCTCTGGGCCACCACCAGTCGGTGAGTGTACTTGCTACTAAATGACTCTCTAGTGTATGTGTGTCTCCTATTGTGGGTATTGTTCATATATAGTTCTTAGAATTGTATGGTACCACTGAGTGTATCGCTTCAGAGTACAGGTGAGGAGGGGAAGACTAAATATTTGAATGATTCCCCAGCAAGGGAGACACCATCTCTAGTAACAAAGCTGATGTAGAGTTTTCAGCCTAGATGTCTTGATGGATTTCCCCCCAAGAGGTCACACTGCCTCCCTTCCCTGGATGCCTGCAACCTGAAATGCTGCAGTGGAGGCTAGGTGTTACCATTTGATGCTTCTGGTCTGTATAAACTGGCACTCAGATTATAAAGTGGCCTGGCTGGGAGGGTACCCTTGGTCCAGAGATGGGAGACCTTTGGTCCTTCAGATGAAGTAGATTTCATCTCTCGGAACAGTGTTTCCCAACTTTGGGTAACCCAGGTGTTCTTGGGACTGCAACTCCCAGAAACCTCAGCCACCACAGTTGGTGGTGAAGGCTTTTGGGAAGTGGAGTAGTCCATGAGCCTGGGGTACCCAAGGCTTGCAACCACTGTCTTAGAAGCTTCAGGAAGTATGGCAAATGGAAAAGCATTATTTGGAGAGTCACATTTTAATCCACCATTGCCTTAGACTTTCAGAGTGGCATAGCGCACCTCTGCCCAATCTTCCTCTGTCATATGGCTATGAAAGGGGCCATATGACAGATGTATCCTTTTTGGGTTAGGTGATGACGACTCGATGATTATTTGCCTGTGCAGGGTGTACGTAGGTGTATTTCTGTGTGCGTGATGATGTGATCCTCCTGTCCACCCTCTCCCTCCAGGGCTCACCATGCCATCCCTGATGGCTTTCATGTTTTCTTTATTTGCCAGAGCTCTGGCGTTGCCGGCGAACCAGTGACCCCACTCTGAGGCCATGGCGGCCAGGTACAGCGCCCACGCCAAACTTCTCTGCCTTTGTGCCACCCCCCTCCCTTTACCTACTACCTCCTGTTTCCCCTTCCCCCTGAGGTACAGCATATGGCATTCCTCTGTATCTTTCTCTTGGTCTGTTATTTCCAGGCACGTCTCTTTGTCCAAGAATTTGACCTCATCTCTGTTTGTGTGTGATTCTATGTCCAAATGCTTTTTTTAAAAAAATCTTGTGTGTTTTACCATCTTGCAGCTTCTCTATTTGTAGAGGCCACTCCTGGCCATCCAGTTTTCTCTGTACTGTTGCCCTTGCTTAAAATTGATATAATGCCTACAGACCTGGTGTAATTTGATGACTAACAGTGTAAGCTGGGAAGTCAGTGATTCTAATCTCACCGTGGGCATGAACTTGCCTGTTGACCTAAGGCAAAGCACCAGTTCTCTGTCTTGTCCCTTGATCTGCGATTAGGGGAAAAGAAATATTGGCTTGTCTTGCAGGATTACTATTATGGAGACATTCCAGATGAAGTGCCTAGAACACTTAAAAAGGGAACATAACTGCAGAGTGCAACTTTTATTGTTTCAGAGTGGTTTGTGCTGAAGGCTACCTACCCCATTAGGTGGGTTAAATTCTACTGGACCAGAATAATGTGCAGATTTATAAGTACAAAATGCAGGCATGAAGACTAGAAGTGTCAGGGTGATGAGTAGCTAGCAAATCTAGGAATGCTTACTTTTATGGGCATTCATTCATTGTTGTTTCTTTTGCAGCGTTGGGTCTGGAGCCTGCACCGGAAGCTCTTCTCCCCAAGCAGCTATGGAAGGGAGAACTCAGTCCCAAGAAACTCTGGGAACAGAACAGTCTGAGCCCCACAGAGTGTTGGAGTGAGGATCAAGCATGAATGGGCACTGCTGTCCGGGAATACTGTGACCTGCTTCTACCAAGTCATCTGATGTCTCTCCCATGTACTACACTCTGCAGCCATCCCATAGGACCTCTCCAAATCAGCTGCAGTCCTGGGATGACTCTGTCCCACCCATTCAGTGCCTTTACCATTTTTTATTTTTATTTTTGGGGGACTGAAAAATTACCGGACATTCTTGGAAAAGTTGATGCTGTTGGTGGTGAGGGGGCTCTTTTTCCCATCACAGAAGGCCAAACCTAGGAGTTCCATGTTGGCTCAAATGGAGGTGGAGAATGGGAGGTGTCTGCCCTCATCAACCCATGATCAATATGTTCAGGACATATCAGATTTATCCTTTGCCTGAGGCTCTGTCAGTCACAACTGTAAGCCTCTGGACCAATTAGTATTTTGCTTAGTTTCATGAAAGATGAAGGGAAGAATCTGGGCTGCAGTTGCTAGGCAACAAATGCACTTTCTGAACCAAAATCCCAGTTGACCCAGGAGGAAGGAGGAGTGTCAAGGTCATGTAGTAGAAGGGTGATTATTGTGACATAAAACTTTCCTCCCTCTGAAGAAGGAACTCAAGAGATCTCTCCAGCAGAATCAGGGAAAATCTGTACAGCCATATGAGAGCCAAGGTGTGATACTGCAGTGTGCTTCGTTCTGCAGAGGTTGGCTTGGTATACCTTTTCTGGGACTGTTTCTTTTTTTGGAATGCAGATGAGGAGGGCACGTGTTTGTATCTTTCCAACACAGAAAAAAAATTAACCCTTCTCACATACAGAAATCTAGTATTTTAAGAAGGGTTCTAGCTAGACATCTTGTTGCAGTGTGCTTTTAAAATATATGAATATGTCCAAAAGGTTTTTACTAGGCAAGAACACTTGGTCAAGTGATCTACCTGCAGTGTGAGGCCATGAAGTCCTAAAAAAAGCGGAACAGTGGTTTTGCTAAACATGGGGAAGATTATTACCTCCCATGCTTGAATCTTTTCCTTAAAGCCTCCACATAGTAATGTTACTTGTTTTTGCGGTGGGACTGCTTGGTGTTTGTTTTGTTTTTTATAAACTGTGCCATGCTGTGATTTGGATAATGCAAACTGTCAGCTAACTAATGGTGCTATACTTTGATTTGGGTGGAAATTCTGGGGTTTCTGCCCATTCTTTCTGGTGCAGGGAGCTAAGCCAGTTAGTTAATCTGCCTTCTCTTGACATTTCTTTTCTAGTATTGGGCCTTTACTATGGGTGTCATACAGACATCTCCCCATATTAAAAGGAGATAGTAAAACCACTCCAGCCAATACTGGTACATAAAACAGAGAAACCTCATGAGACTTGTCACCATTTAGCAGACTTTTGATTCATTATGACTATTTTCATCTGCATCACTGAAAGTGGTGACTCTGATAGTAACCTCTTCCTCCACTTAATTAGACTGTGAATCCTCATCAGTTCCAGGACTGTGGATTGTGCTGATAATATTCCGTATGCTTTTGTCCAACTCTTCAGTAGTATGGACTTGCATTGCCCTTCTTTTTGTCAAAAGTAAATGCCTAATTTTAGAACCACTTGTTTTGCTCATGGGATTGGTGCTGATCTGTTTGCCCTAAACCACTGGAGTAAAATATAATGCAAAAAAGCAACTTCCAATGTGCAAAACTGGCATAAATTAGCCTCGAGTTGTAGGCAAGGTGGTAAACCTGTGGATGGATCATATTACTGCAGAGCTAACTAGACATGGCAGAAGTTCTGTGCAGAGAAACACCTACTATGAAAAAGATAAGTGTTGATCTCTAACAGGAAAAGTGACAGATGGGTAAGAGGTATGTACGCCTTCCCCATCTGCAGTTTCTTCCTACAAGTTCTTTCTTTGAACAATTTTCTTAAATGCTCAAATGAGACTTCATTCTTACTGAGTGGTTAGGAAAGAAGTCTGGACATTTATTTTGCTTTTTAAATGCTACTGGATGTAACAATAAGGCATATTTTTAAATTAAGACTAAAGCATGAAGCCTATTTTAATCTTCCCCAAATGAAAACCATTTACTTGCTCTGCAGCTAGACTAAGAACAAAAGCTTCCATCTCTAGCACTAATGGGAACTTTTCTTCCTAAATCTGTGCATGGGAGGGCCGTGTTTCATCAAGGTCTTGGCAGGGGAGGAGGGTCTAGATCTTCTGGCACTCCTATTACCAGCCAAATAGTATTAAAAAACAAACACACCTAAATATGGGTGTTAATTCTACAGCTGAGTAGTTTGTCCCCCAGATTACCTCCAAGAGCAGCATCAAGAAAGGGACTATGGGAAGAGTTAAGCATTCCTAACTAGAAATGAACTTTCACTTCTAAAACTGGGTTTCCTCTTCCTGCATATGTATTGAAACCTCAGCTTTGCAACTGAGCCCACTGGATAAAATCTGCAAACAGATAAGATAATAAAAACCTACATCTGGATTGCAGGTCTTCAGACTAGATGCAGACAGAGGCTCAAAAAAAAAATCCTTGCATTTAGCAGACTAGGTGTTAAGGAAGCCTTCCTGACATGAGAGATTTCTGTGTGCAAGGAAGATTTATATGTAAAGGGAAAGCATCTGAATCCACACCAGCCATCTGAGAGTCGAACTACACGATAGTGTATTTAAGTGTGTGAATTATTCCAAATCTATGTTTTGCAACCAGCATTTTTATACTTAAAATCAGAGTTCCAAGCTTGGGTTTTGCAACATCTGCAACCCGTCTATATTGGTTTCAAATGGCTTAAGTGTTACCATAGTTAATGTATCAAAGGGAAAAAGGAGAATGGTATATATAGTAAGGGCTTTAGTGTTTGAACTGAGGCTGATCGTTGGGGGAACCAGAAGTCCCAATAGTATAGTTCTATTTTTAAAAAGGGTTTTTTCAAAAGAGAAGCTTTGACTGCTGTGCAGGCTGGATAGAGTGCCATAGTCATGTGGGTTCAGAGAGGTCGAATTGAGTAAAATGTCATTATTTGATTGATACATAAAATGTTTTTTAAAATCTGCAAGCTGTGCAGATTGATTGTTCACACCCAGGTGGTAAGAAAGCTAAAACATGATGGAAGCACACTAGTTTTAACCTGTTTGATGAGCGGGTTCTAGCTACTGCTGCCCACAATCTTAAGCCATTGTAAGGTACTAAGCAAGCACCTTGGGTCTTCGTAAATGAATGGTTACCTTTGCCAAACCTGTAATCGTGTCAAAATAATCAGTCAGGTTTGTCTGACAAGACCTTATTTTATATATAAAAAAAGCATGTTGAACTATACTGTATTAGTAATTGCTGTTCTTCAGTTGTAAGAGTGACTGCATTAGATTCTTTCCCTGGCTATTTATCACTTTAAAACTGAATATAATTCACAAGGCCCATGTTACTTACTATTCACTGGGTTTTGACAGGTTTTTATTATTATATTTTGATATCTTTTTTTGCTACCAGTTTCTCAACAATTTTAGAAGTTTCCTTGGTTTGCCTGAAGTCTATTAAAGAGAAAAAGACTTTCCCCCAACTATTTAAAAAATGATGTCTTTAAGTTTGCAGGTATGTGCCCAGTTGGGCATAGATCCCACTGAATTTGGTGTAACTTACTTCTGAGGAAATATGATGAGGGATAAATTCTGAATGTATTTCAATGTGTGGTGACCATGCTTTCTCTCTCTCCCCCTCCCCACCCTTAATGTACTTGTTACATTACTGCTATTCAATTTTTCCCCTGCCCTGGCTGCAGCCTTGTCTTCTCTCCTCTCACAGGCAAGGAGACATGGGGAGAGAGGGATACAACACCAGCCGACTGCCCTGTCTCCTTTATGTTTGTTTCCCAGTCCAGAGGCTTGGGTTGTTCACTGTCCCATTCTTGTAGCAGAGGCCTATGCAAGAGGTAAATTTTAAAACCTGACCCACCGTCGTTGCTAAGCAACTGGAATGTTCCTGTTCCTACTCCTTCCCTGTTTCCCAAGTGAACTCAGTGGCTGAGGAGCAACAGTGAGAGGCCCTTCCAGCCGGCATCAGGCTTGAGCCAAGAATCCAATCTGTCAGCAATGTGGCCTGGCTGGCCTGACTCTTACTCATCAGTAGCACATGATCCTTCCCTCTGCCTCTGTCCGGAGGCCTCTTGCTTCTGTCACAAGGGACACTAAAACATGACAGTTTGCCCTCCTGTCTCTCTTTCTTGCCATAGTTCAACAGGGCAGACAATGCCACAGGGAGCCTTATACAGTATTTTGGTCACAGCCTAACTGAAAAGAGATTACAGTGCCTGGAAACTGCAGCGGATGAGGTCTTCAGGCAGTACCTTCAAGCCACCAGCTATGTAATAAGGCTAAGCCCTGCCAAGCTGGTCATGCCAATCCTGTGCTCCCCACCCCTTCCTCTTATCATGGCTCAGCGTCCCAGACAAAGCCAGTCCGTGCCTAGTTATGCCAGGCTAGTGTTCTGCTGCCTTCCATCATCATCATCCAAAAGGGGAGGGGGGGAAGCAGAGAGTGCCAGGCAGATGCCTTTCCTCTTCGCCACCAAAGCAGCTCAGACAATACTCGTCTGTGCCAAGATGGTGCCCTGCATGCCCACAGCAGAGCAAGAGGCAGGATCCATTCCAGCAGCCCCCCTGCATCTGCTTCCACTTAAGAGCGATGTTTGCGTGGCTCTGCCCAGGAGAGCAAATTCTTCCCTTCGTCGTGATCGTGCCTCGGTCCTCCTGGCCTTATCTCTCTACTCCCAGTCAAGAGAGCAGGCGGTGTCCCTCCGCCAACTCCAAGCCAGGATTCAGAGCCAGTACAGTAACTTTGTTTTGAGAGAAGCATCCTCCTCGTAGCGTATTTCTCGGGGGTGGGGAGATGGGGGGGAAGGAAGAGCGGCCTCAAGGAGCAGGCTGCCCCCTGCCCTTCTCCCTCCGCGTCCCCCTAACCTCCTTTTGAGACCGTGACCCCTTCCTGC